CACGCTTCTCATAGTTGGCCTCGGCATCACGTTTGTAATAATAGTAGTATGGTTCGGGGGATGCATCGGCATCACGTTTGTAATAATAGTAGTATGGTTCGGCATCACGCTTTTCGTGGTTGGCCTCGGCATCAGCATTTCTCTTGAAGTAAGGAGCTATTAAAATACAGGTGAAAAAATAAATTGTAATAATGCACAAGCCAAGCTAATTTATGCTTTATCCAATAAACTTACCACCCATACTAGTAGAGGCCATAATGGCCAATACGACAATTAAATTATATTTCATCTTGTTTTCTTTTTTTTTGTCGAAATTGCTTGAGAACACCTGCTTGTCTTAGAGAATGGGAAGAGTAAGTTTTTATAGGCATTTTGCATTCATATTTCATTTCATTCTTTTAGGAGGGCTGAATTGGTGGTTTTTCGTGAAAAAATATGTCATCGACAAAGCCGAATATAAGCTTATGTTCAAAGCCAATTTGAGTAGCCAAGCATCTAATCGAATTCGATCCAAATAGTTTCTAAGAGTAAAAATTATGATCTTTTATCTGCATACACTATTTAAAATTCGCTTGCGTGGCAAATGTCGTTGAATATTTTTCAATTGGTACAAAGCTCAATGAAAGGGCTTACACATTTCCGATGTTTAATTGTAAATAGAACGGCAACCCTTTAAAAAGATTTCTAAATTTAAATATCAAGCCATAAAAGTGAAATTTTACATGAACAGTACAGTATATAGAAAAAAAGCCTAAAGCCACAATATATTTTTCTATGAATGCCGAGGCTTGGTTTCAATTTTACTTAGTTATCGATCATTTGAGGCTTTAAAACAATCTTGATAAATATCATACTACAAAGCCAAGATAATTGCAGGCAAAAAAGCGCAAAGAATATAAATTATCTATTGAATATTTAGATCACTATCAAAATAATAGCCTGTGTTATAGAAATGGAAACAATGCGTAAACTTTTTGTGATCGAATTTTCAAGCTTATAGTTTTGTACGGTAATTCGGTCAATTTTTAAAATTTTGAAAATAGTAATAATTATTATTCTCCGAAAGAAATGGTAATTAATGTATATATAACTGCACTTTATATTATACTAATATATATATATATATATATATATATTTTGTTTACTTAACTGTAAATTCTAATAATCAATAAGAAATATTTAAATATTAAGGGCATCGAAAAATTATTGTTTTATTTTGACTTAAATATTTATTAAAATTATTTATTTATTATATTTTATTAATTTGTCAAACTAATTCTAATAATTTCTTCAAATCTTTCTAAATGCAACACTTGGGATCATATTGAAAATTTTTAAAATTTCTACAGTTAGAAAAAAGATTTTTTAGGTTATATACGTATACTTGGAACTAATACTTTGCAAATTAACTATATTTTTTGTCAAGGAACAAATTAGTATCTCTTATTTTAGTAAAAACAAAATTCACAAAATACTATAAATTAATAATTTAAAAATAAAACCTATTTTAGATAGTTTTCTTATAATTATTAATTTGAATATTCTGATATTTTTAGTAAGGGATATTTGACTTTAGTACTTTTTATTTTCTTTAGAATCTTTTTTACCTGAAACCAAACTTAACTATATATTAAAAAACAAAAATTTTTTTTTGCTCCCTTAGTTTTGTTTATTAGTTTCAATAAAGTAATTCACAAGTGCTCTTGCAGAAATTACAAAAAATTATTAGAAAATATAAACTAAATAAATTTTTATTTTATACTTTTAACTTACTAAAACTAGTTTCACTAGACAGCTTGTTGCCACTTTTATCTAAGAGAGGGCCAATCTATTTAGATGAAACTAATACTAATTTCAATATTAAAAAATATTTATATTATTTAGCAAAAATGTATTTATGATTCTTAATTATTTATTTGTTTATTTATTTAAAGAGACTAGATAATAGTTCAGTATATTAATGTCTTTTATTTTTTTGTTAATATCTTATGCTTCTTTATATTTTTAAATATGGTTATATGTATACTTATATTTTTGAATTAAAAATTTTTCTATTTAAAAAAGAAGTTTTAGTACAATTTTTAATATTAATAATGTCTTTTGTTGCTTTTTTTATACTTGAAATTATTGATTCAAAAAATAATTCTTTAATAAATAACTTTAAAACTATATTATTATATAAATAGGATTAGCTACATATAATTTGTTCAAAATTATTTCTTATATTAGAATAAATATACTCTTCATATATTATTATAATAATTTGGATTATTTTTAGTTAAATTATATTACAAGTACTTATATAGAAAAGAATATATATTAATTTTATTTTTTATATATGCACTATTTATTTATTTTTATTTTGTTTTTTAATTTACAGCTAGATAAACATGGCTTATTTAATTATATAAATATATAATATCTATAAATTATTTAATTTTTTTACTAACTTAATCATTATTAAAAAATAATTTCTTTAAATACAACTTGGAAAATGATATTTTAATCTTTTGCAGATTTAAACTATTTCTTAATCAGTTAAATATTGTTTATAGATCATTTCTATAAATTATTTTAAAATTAGTCTACAATTAAAAAAAACTATTTTGCTCTATAATAAACTTAATATTTATCATATATGCAAATATAAAATAACACCTATGTATATTATTTTAAAAACAGTCTATTTAATAAATAAATATTTATTTTTAAATAATTTTTATTTTTAATATACAACCTTACCCATTTTATTGATTATATGCATTACATTTATTCTTGTATACAAAGTAATTTTGTAAACTTTTTCTATGCTTAGTAAAACAATAAAATAATTGATAAAATATCTATTGTGATATGTTATTTTACTATTCAAGTCAATTTAGCATATATGAAGTTCCACTAGTATATTTGTTAGCAGAAGAAGTATATAAGAAATAGTGAGAGAAGACAAGTTATAAGCTAAATCTTTTGTGAATATTGTGTTATCAGTGACTAAAGTATTAAAAAATCTCTCTATAAGAAATGCTAAAGAAAAATATTTGTTTCATTTTAAGACTTAAAAGTTATAGTGATTATGTTGTGTAAATAGATGATATGTATATTCTGTCAAAACTTTAATCATAGTTTTGCTTCAAAATAAGGAGGTCAGGTCTTAAGGGCTTGTTACCTTACAGTCATAAAAGGGAAAGAAGATTCGATAGAGTGTATATGTAATAGTGATACTAGTAAAGTATTATCTATCATTATCTAATTATGACTTCCAGTAATATCTATTTCTTGGCTTATTGTTTTCTCAAGTTAATTGAAATCTCTTCATATCAAGTAATGGTTATACCCACTCATTTACCGTTACCTTTGTTATTTCAATGCTATAGAAAACTCCTCTAGTTACTTTGTGAAATTTGTCTCCAGTCAGATTCCAGTTGTATATAGAAGTTAATTACTCCTGTTAATTAGAAAGTGGGATTTTTTAGGTCATTCATCTGCTTGGTCAGTTTATTGTAGGAGGGGTGATGAAAAAGAACTCCTTTTAATGTTGTCAGGGTGATTTTTATCTTTCAAGATGTAAGTGATTTTTTCTTGAGTAGAGAAAGGGTTGTGAAGAGGCATATATGCAGCTGGATAGGTTGATCTACTTATAGTATATTCTATCTATAGCATTGTCTAATCCAATAAAGTCACAAGACTCTTGCTAAATCTTTGTGTCTTATGAGTTGAACTATCAGAGCTTGTAAACTTTATCCTTATTTATTCTTTCTAGTAATGGTCAATAATATAATAGAGATCAATGTCTTAAATTCAACTGCACCATAACATATGATTTATAATGGACCCTAGATTCTTATAAAGCTGAGGAAATGCATTTAGACATGTAAAATAATCAATAGGAGCTTGTTTATATCCTTTTATTGACATAATTCAACTAAGTCAATTAGTACACAAGAAACTTTATGCTACTCAAAATTCGGGTCAGACTGAGATAGGCAAAATTCTTCAGAAAAAACTGAAAAAGAGTACTATTAGAGTCTAAACAAGTAATAAAAAGAATAGATAAAATGCATTTGTAATAGCTCTCTCATAATAAAAAAAACTCTATAATATTTTTTTATATATTAAAAGATAGTAGACAGTCAGTTCTTCTTCTTTTTAGAACTTTCTTACCATTGGTAAGAAGATATTCTATGACTTTTCAGGTTACTAGAAATCAAGTTTTTGAGTAAAGAGGTTTGTAGACAATAGAAAAAAGATAAAAATAACTATTGAAGTATATATTTCAAGTTGTTTTAAAGAAAGTATTTAGACTTTATTAACAAGGAAGTATAGAAACTTCTTGCAAACATCTTTTTTGTGTGTGGTCAGAGGATCAGCAGAAAGAGAATGATTATTTCTGATATTTATTTTAAAATAATATTTATATATATTTATATTAAAAATAATATATACATTTATATAAAAATATAATGATTAGAAAAAAAATATATAACTATATTTTTTAATAAACAAAAATATTTTAATTTCTATTTATTTATTATTATTATATTTTCAAAATAATTTTTCTTATATGTTCTATAATCATAATTTTTTTTTATTATATTTTTAAGATCTAACTTATCAGATATTAATATTTTATTTTTATTTAACAATTCTTATATATTAATATTATTTTATAATAATTTTTTAAAAATTTTTTTTTTAAACTGGCTCAGCCTTGTTTTATTATTGTTTTCAAATTACATTTATACAGTGTAGCTAGTGCTAAGGTACATGGATGTAGTTTCAGTAATAACAAAACTTGATAAGCTATAAACTAGCTCACGGCTTGTTGCCCTTTCTTTAAGGGAAAGAAACTAACATGCAAAGGCCGTGCTAGTTGTTAAATGAAATGATAATAGTATAAAAATGTTAGTGTTGTACTTTATGTATTAGTTTGTATAGCTATTGACTATTCTGATCAGGTTTCCATTCTGGTCCTTTGCTACTTGATCAGGTTGGTTCTCTTGGGTCTGTTGCTATTTGTCTTGAGTACATCTGCTTCGTTTTGTTGTCCTGTTTGTTGAGAGGGTTGGGACTTGTGATTGAGATTCTTCACAATTCACTTTCCAGATGTCATGTAAGAGTTCTTTCCATCCTCTCATTGTGTTAATGATGACCGTTGTGATTGTCTTGCTGCTGGTTATTAGCTTTTTGAGTGTTTCTGGGATTTCTTTTATGACTGCTTCCCTGATGAGTAGCTTGAAAGTCCTGAGTGTGTTCAGA